TCCCCTCAGTAGCCTCTGATGCCTGTGAGAGAAGCACACACCAGCAGACAGCCCAGCCACCAGAAGTTTACACTACTGATGTAATCTCTCAGTAGCACTCTGTCCAAGAACGTGTAACTTCAGCTTAGCCACTCCTGGGCCAGCACTGATAAGCTGATGTGAAATGAAGCAATCCATTTCCCGATGTAAACAGTTGTTTGGCTACACAGGGGACAATATAAACAAATGAATCTATTTATAAATCATTATTTATACTTGCTATAGAACAGGAATATTATGTTCCAGGGCAGAAGTGACAGTATTTCCAAGAACACAGTAAAAATTCAAAGAGCTGGTATCTTCTTCCATCAGCCTGCCCTGCTGACACTCCCTGTTCCAGTACTACAGAAGCAATAAACACATGATGCAGGGCCTGATCTGTTTAGGAACAAGATACCCTTGATCCAGCGGGTGGGAAGACACCTTCTTATCGTATCTATAGGTTCTTCCAACAGCTCAATAAAAGTCAACGGCGACATGACTTCAGCTCCGGGAAGGAAAACCCGAGCCTTACTCCCGCTTCTTCCACCCCTGCAACCCAAACGATCCGGGCTCTCCCCAGGCTGCACACTCCGCTTGTGCTGAGAGCACGGCTGGGGGCGGCACTCCACAGACCCCTGCGCTCATTATTTCCCGCTCCCCGAAGAATGGCTACCGCACTCCAGGGCACTGGGCTCTTTCCAGACGTTTTCGCTCGTTTATGGAAACCCCAAGACAGAGCACACGCGGGGCTGAGCCGCCGCTGTCATTACGCCCCCGACGCGGCGCTCCGCCGGCGGCCGCGCTTCCCGCCGGCAGCCTGGCCCCGCCGTGCCCGCCCCGCAGCCGGCACCGCTCCGGGCACAGCGCCCTGCCGCCGGGGGCTCCCGGCGGGCGGCAGCGGCAGGGATACGGAACGCCGCCACAGCCCTTCACGTAGAGGGGTCGAGGGTGCCCGTGCGCTCCGGCGCCGCCTCCCGCTGCTCCAGCGCCCCGGGAGACGCCCCCGCTCCGGCCGCCTTACCGTGCCGCTGCAGCCCCTGCCGGCGCGGGGCGGCCCGCGGGCGATGCGCGGCGCTGTCCCGCGCTATCCCGCGGAGCCGCGGCAGGACGACGCCGCCGCCCCAACCATGGTCTCCACCCCCCGCGGAGCCGGAGTGTGCGCGGCGGGCGCCGCTCCCGGTCTTTTCTCCGGCGGGGGAGGAGGAGGGTGGAGTGAGGGTGGGGTGAGGGCGGGCGGGGGCGGGCGCGCCCGCGGCGGGCGGGCGCCATTAACGGCCGCGCTCGCGCCACCGCCCACTTTGAAGCGGCCGCGCCGCGCCAGGCACAGCGGCGCCCCCTGGTGGCCGTGGGAGGCGCTTCCCGGGCGCGGGGATCCCGGGATTTCCCGCTTGGCAGCCCCGCTGGCCCGGGTGTGCCGAGCCGAGCCGCTGGTTGTACCATGAGGCTTTTTATCTGCTTGAAGCTATAGCACTTCGGGGTGTCTGAGCGTGATGGGCTGGGCCCAGCAGGTCCGTCAGCGGCAGAGAGAACAACGGGGCTGGTTGTGCCGAGGAGGCGGGCGGCTTGTCCTGCCTGCCGGGAAAGGAAGGAGAGGAAAGCACGGGAACCATGACGGGCACGGCTGTTCTGCGGGAGCTGTCCGAGCCTCCCTGCTGCCGGTGTGTGTACGGAGCAAGGCCCGGTGCTCCTGCGGCAGGCACGGCAGGAGCCGCAGGGAGCTGTGTGGCGGATTCATGGGGCACAGCCCAGCAGCCGCGCCGGCTCGGCACGCACAGCGCGGCAGCCCCGGGCCCGGGCTCACCGCAGCTCACTGCGGCACGGCTGCCGGGCCCCTCACAGCGCCGCAGTGCGCGGGGCAATGGCAACGCGGGGTAAAAAGCCGAGCGTTCTCTCACACACAGCCAAATACTGGGAAAAGCTCGATTTGAGGTTGTCTAGTACAAGAGTTTACACCGAGCCTGAAGATGGAAGATGAGCTTGAGAAGCTCCTTGTCTTCAGTCTTCTAAATAGACTGGCTTTTCTCTCTTATTTACCATAACAGAAGATAATTTTTTTTTTGTCCTCAGATATTTATGGATAGCTGTGCCTTTCGCACATCTGAGCAGCACAAGGTATTTGAACTGTCCTCTCCCAGCACAGACCAGTCCACTCAGCCTTGTAACAAGTGCCTTTCATCGCGAGGAGAATCACCACCATTGTTCTCCATTTCGGCCTCCATGCTGCCCTTGGCACCGTGCAAGCAGCCCCCTGCTAAATACAGACTAAATGCACCCAGAATTACAGATCTCTTGTGAATGCAGCCACACATTCTGCTACTATGGCTTGTATTACAGGGAAAAAAAATTACAGACAAACTTAGGAAAATAGAAACATTTATTGAAAGGTGCAACACACTCATGAAATACTTAGCATTAATTATTTGACACTATTAGTCCAAAATTGATCATTTGTAACATTCAAATATATAAGCATCCTTCATACTGAAAAAGGGCATCCTAAAGTGCATCTTAAGTGACAAGTTTACTTGCTACCCAAGGTATAGTCACAAGTTTATCAGAGGTCATCCTTCCAAACACTCATTCTTTACATTTTTTTACAAATAGAAACAATTGTATAATGTTAGTGGAATGCAGTGCCGGTTCCTTCCCAATTCAGCATCTTTAGCAAGTGCTTAGCTGCAATACTATGATATTATACACAAAGCTACAGTTAAGCATATCTGTGCTTATAAGACTTAAATTTAATCCTGACTTTTCAGGATCACAACATAGGTGTAATCACTAAGCCTGGGAGTAACCGTGTTGAATTCTGCTTTATTTTTCTAGTCCCATACTGAAAGGTAGCCCCTACTACATAATGAAAGCTCAAAGTCCACTTTTGCTCCAATATGAACTGTGTTTATAATTTTTTTAAATAAACTAGACTCATCAACTGTAGCCAAATTTTTGTTGTTTTACACAGCAATAAATTTTGCATATAAAAATGCCAATAGCTATTTATTAACTTAAATTACTCTCCAACTGTAATGTGAGATTCTTAATTTCTGATGTACACAACTCATATTTCCTTTGAAAAGGAGCATCACACAGAGGAGAAACCTTTTACTAATTATGCAGGTGAAATCCCTATCATTTTAAGAAGGTAAGCACATAGAACCTTCTAACAAAAGCCGTCTTAAATGTCTGTACATTATTTACTGGATTTTGACATTTTCATCTCCTTCTTGTTTCTCCTGCAGTTTCCTCTGTAGGCACAGAGGAAGCAAAAGAATAGCCATTTACAGGGTCAAATGCAAAGCAAAGAATGGCAGGATTTCTGGATCTGAACAGGAGTTTGTGTGCCTCATATCTGTGTACTGTGCTACAGCTGGCATTTTTTGTAGAAGCTGCAGGGTGGTAGATTTTTTGCTACATGGATGCACTAAATCTTTCCCCATCCTGGGACTGAGACAGCAACAAAGAAAAATGCTTCTTTTCTATCAGTGGGGTGTAGGTACTGAGGAAGAGACTAGATTTAATATTTGGGCAGGGGAAGTCAAACCCCAGTTACATAAATTTGCACTGCCCATAAAGCCAGGGAGAGCTCCAGCCAAGGTCAGTGAAATAGCTGCCAAAAGAGTGTGGGGTTACTGTGTGTGGGCCACATTTTAAATGTCACTTAGTGTTAATACGAGAAAAAAAAATACTGAAATGTCAGTGTCTAGGAAATGTTGTGACTGCAAAATGCAAAATACAAAGGGACAAAAGAGCACCACTGAGTATAGTTACAGTTAGGATAGTAAAAATAGAAACTGAAGGAATTATAAATGGAAACATTTTCACTGAGTATTCAGAGCACTTTCCTTTACACAGAAGTACCAGCTCCTACTTAAGCATTTTCCCCCTTCAACTTTGAAGATGCATTAGGTGAATGCAAAACATTTCTTTCATGCAAAAATGCAAAAAAACTTCTTTAAAAAAATCAATTAGCATTTCCAAAAATATTGAATAAGGTGTCATTTTCTCTATGCGGTATATTTAATGCATGCTGGCTCCCAGCTGCTGCAAATATTTAAATGTGTGAGACAGTCCAGGCATTGAGTTCAGGGACAGGATGAATGAGTAGTGCCATCTCACTTCTGCTCTGTGCAGTGCCTATCACCATGCCCTTCAGACAGAGGGAGGATGGGACTAGTTAAATCTGAAAAACTGCAATTATAAAGCCATAACAATTGCCAGAAAACCAAGAATGAGGGCAGTATATTAGATTATTTTTCATGTTTTGAGGATTTTTCTTTTAATTTTTGTATTTTATACTGATTCAACCTGCTTTTAAAATCAAAGGTAGCTCTCACAAAACCAAGTTAGTTTCATTTAAAATCTGCAGGTTTATAAACAGCCAGCTAATTAGTTGCTGAGATAAGCAACCTTTAAAACAAGGTTGCTTGGTACATGAACTTTGTTGTTTGTAGTTCCATAGCTTAGCAAAATAAAAAGCCAGTATGCAACAGAAGATATATGTTAGGTTGTTCTACATGGTATTAATTAGTTTAAGAAAGAGTATTCATCAGAACTATATGCCCACACTTCAAAAATAGTTTAAAATAATAAATCAATATTTGCAGATGAAAGGAAAATTTAGATACTAGTAAAATAAAAACAATGTTTCCCTGTAAATATTTGTTAGAACAAATATTTGAAGGACATTTCCAATGTGAAATATGATGTTGTTTATCATTAGGCAAAATGTACCTCTAGGTTTTAGGATGAATGAATATAATATTTTTTCATGACCAAAAATATGTTTTCACAGAAAATTACACGCCCTAGCATTTTTGCAAATATCATGTGTTTTTACAGAGGAGAGGGAGAAGATTCTGTTACAATTAAGTCTTAAAGAATAAAAACTGCCAATTTCTTCTCCTTAATTTTCTTTTAAATACGTTATTACTTAATGATTCCCAGATTCTGACCCTCTATTACTACTGAAAAAAGCAGAAGTTGCTTCCAGAGGCCTGCCAGCTGGCCCTCCAGTGATCTACCCAGGAACTGCAATCCATCTTGCCCTGAGAAACAGGCAGAATGTGTGTCCTGATAAGAATTTTGACTTCTCCGTCATTGCAGCTATTTAGAATGAATTAGAGTCTGGGATGGTTTTTTGCTTCTTATCTGGCATGCACACTCATGTAGTATTTTATAAAAACAGTTTGCCTTTTAGTCCTAGGTGCAGTGGACTACAAAGTTCATTTCAGAGATCTGTTCATGTAAAAGCTCTGAAAGTATTTGGTCATGCTCAAGAAAGTAATAGACAATATAATCTGCATTTTAAAAGCATGTAACATATTCACATGTACATTTATACTGAACATCAGTCTGTGTAAAATATCAGGTGTAATTAAAAGCATTATCTACAAGTATACACTCACCTATAAAGATACACCTATTTTCACAGAATGCACTGCCCTAACTCAGTATACTGAGTCACCAGTCCAGTTTCATATCTGCTTTACTCCACACATACTTTCCTCCTCTTTTTAGGAACATCTTCTCATCAAATCCGCTGAATTTTATAGCTGCTTCTACACCAACATCCAGGATGGACTTGGAAGGTTCTTTCCGCCCATTTCTACAGTTTAGAAAACGCATCTGGAACGTAAGATAGATAAGATGATAAGATCTTAGAAAGTCAATTTGCAAAAGCTTAAGTTTTCTACAGACTTAAGCAAGTTGCACTGCAATTCCACCAAAGCCTATGTAAGTGCATGAAGAGGTTCACTCTAGTCCTCAGAAGGCTCAGAAACTCATGGTTAAACATGTGACAAATCTTAGCAGGAACAAAACAATATCATAATTCTTGAAGATTAAATGCTGTCACTTCAGTTACATGTAAACTAAGTTGGCACTCTGAAACTTAACTTTCAAGGCAAGTTCTGCATTTTTAAATTAAAGAAAAAAAGCAAAGATGTCCTGCAAAACTAACATCTACACCTTAAGATTTGTGATGCAAAGATTATGTGTGCAGGCTGATGGCAACGCCTCCTTAGGTCATGCTGTATTGTAGTTCACAACATGTCTGATGGGCATAAATCACATTTGTTCCTTGTACCACATGGCAAAATTGTTTTATAGAATGCAGAGTAAATTAACTGGTTCTCACTGTTGTATATATACATATATTAGCATACAAATACCACGTATCAAAAAAATACTTACATATTCATCCAGAATGAGGTATGAATCCCTCATCTGTAATAGATCAAAAGAAAAAACTAAATTAATGTACAAATCAAAATTCCATTCCACTGAAAAAGGAGGGACAAAACAAGCAACTATTCATTCAAGGTCTGATACAAATCTTTGAAACAGTTGCTGTATCACCACTGTTTCAGCGAGTTTGGATGAAATTTATAGAAATAAATGACAGAATTGCTAGAAAAACTTTATGTATGAATAAATTAGTAATTCCTGGAATATTACCTCTCTGGTGTCTAAGTGAAATGTGGGTGCCCAACTGGGCAAAGGTATTTTAAATAATATCCAAGTTTTCTATTAACTTCTGCACCAGAAGAACTTAAAGTTTTGCATGCTGGAATGATTATGCCATTTTCCAAACAAATGACATGACCATTTTAACTGGAATGTTTAATTATGACCCCACCAAAAAAAGGTATTCTGCTGGCTCAAAGGTAAAAAAGCACTCAGGTCTCCACAAAGAAATATGCCAACAGCTGAAATAAGACATGTTTGCTTAGCTAGGTGGGCATCTCCTAAATCCTCCTTCAAATTCTCTGGGTAGCTGGGGCTTGCTGCTACACAGAACAGGAAATCTGGTCAATTTGGTGTTCATCTTTCACACAGGTTAATCAGAAATCAGAAACAGTTTTCGGGAACCAAACCTACAATGGGAAGCCTTTTTTGTATGACTTCTGTTATGAAGAAAAAAAAAAAAAAAGAGAAAGTAGAAATAGTTCTGGGTTCTCATCTTAACCCTTTCTCTGATGAGTGCTCCCTCTCACCAAATGCAACCCCACTTTTAGGTCTTACATAGCAAAAGCAACCCAGTCTGCTCACTTAACCTCTACATACATTAAGAAGTAAACTGTAAATAGAGTTTACAGTTCCAGTCCTTATCTGTGGAAAAGAAAAGGAACACAAGATGGGAGATTTAATGCATTCCTGAACTTGCTTCAACTTGCTATTTCTTCACTTAGTTCATAAACTTTCCTAACAGAGTGTCCTCTAACTCCCCTCATCCCATCTTTAGGATCTGTAGGCATTTACAAAATGGCCTGAGCCATATGCACCAAAGTCCTTTAGAGTGTGGTTAATGTAAGCTGGATGGCAGCTGATCAAGTTAACTGGTAGGCTCTGCAGGAGCACAAGGAGTCTTCTCCTGATTAAAGAGCCTGAGTGTGCAATCCAAAGGAGTTCAGACAGAAAATGTTAAAAATGCAACTTTATTGTGAGAGGGATTATCCAAAAGTACTATTAGTTGGGTACTGTTCCTCAGTACCCAATACAATGCTGGTTGGGATGCTGTCTTGTTCATGTAGGTTGGTGACACTGGCACAATGTGACATCACAGTCAAGTTCTATTAGGAAACTATAGTTAGACTATAAAGTGTGTTTACAGTAACTGAAATTTTCAGCATCTTGTGCCCAAGTCAGGAAGAGTACTCCCATTGGTGTCCACAGGACTGGGAACAATGGGTTTTTCCTCTTCCTAATAATTTTGTTGTCAATGAAAAGCCTTAAAGAAAATTTTAAAAAAATTAAAATCTTGGCTTCCACCATAACAAAAGCAGCTGCTTATAAAGTTGTACTGCACCTCTTCTAAGCCACTATTAACAGGGAGAGTATTAATTGCCATGAAAGTTTTTTGTTCCTTTCAAATATTCTAGCATTATTTAAAAATAAAGTTACAAAGGGACAGTTTCATTTTTACCTTCTGATTAGATTCAGGTACCAAGCAGGAGACATCTTTGTGGCGATCCAGGAATCGATCAAAGTCTTCATCACTGATAACAAATTTTTCTGCTTCTCTTAGAGCATCCTCACCACTGTTCTCCCCTTCGATAAGCAGGCACTGGAATACCTGGACAAAGAAAGCACCTGGGTAAGACTTTATGTTTTCACTTGCCTTGAGGATAAGAGATTTCAATCTCAGCAGCAATGTCTAATTTTTCTGTCAGTGGAAACAAAATGACACAACTTGTGATAACTGAATACTCCACAAAGGACATGGTGCAGATTTACTTTTTGTAAATTAACATTACAGAGCTCTAAATGTTATAAATTATGATTTTCCTTACTATCTGAGATTTCACTTACAGTGTTTTTGGGCCTTGTTTTTTTTTTCTGAGTAATTCTGTGTCTATAACAATATCCATGAGGCAAATAATGAGAAATTACTCCACACATTCTCCCATATTTATGTCACCTTATATCTAGCCATTTTCAAACTTATTTCTAGTAAAAAAAAATAAATATGTGTACCCTAACCTCTAATACTCTGTAAGAGAAAATTAATACACACTTATATCTTGCTAAACAATATATTCACTTTAATGTGTCATTGTTCAGTAATTTTTCCTAATTTTCTCTACACCATAACATATTTTCACATGTTAAATGCTTTCTGTGCTAATTTTAGTATATTAAAACAACCTAGATCTAGACATACTGAAATAGTAATTTTCTGTACATAACACAACCAAAAAAAACCATTCTTGATCTACTGGGCTCCATTTAAGTGCTGAATGAGTTAGAACCTATCTCAGCACCATGCAACATTGACAAGAAGGCTCCTGACACCAGCCCAGGCTGGAGCTGCAGGTAAGACTCAGGTCAATAGAGATTCAGACAACTCCAGGACTTGATTATTACTTTTCTTTGAACAGGAAATGTGTGGTATATACTACTTTCTTACCTTCCAGCGCACAGGGTTCAGTGCCTTGATCTGCTCATTCATATCTTCCTCAACATTAAATCTGTTGATGACTGAATTTATTTTAAAAGCAACAGCATACTCTCGGCACCACTGCCTCAGTTTATGGAGATTTTCCACATGGTTCTTCTTTCCTTGACGACGACCAATTAAAATGTTGACATCCTCATCAAAACTATCGCATGAAATTGCCAGAATATCTAAATATTCACCTGAAAACAAGTTTTAAAAATTGATTAATATCCAGTCCATCAGCTAAAAGCTGTCAGGACTCTAGTCATTTTCACTTCCTTGTCATCTGACGCAAAATGCCATGTAAATGCAGTTCTGTTGAGTCATCCCATCAACCACAAAAGCCACAGCAACAGCAGCATAGAAACACATAGTTTGTGTGTGTGTGTGTCCCCAGCAATATGGAAACAGGTGGAACATATGGAAACATTTGGTATAATGGTGTAAATAAAACAATAATAATTGTTTTATTACACCATTATACCAAAAGGTTTTTTGTGGTATAATGCCTACCTTTACAGGAGATAATCAACACTGTTTCACTGACATTTACATTTGATTTGCATTTACTAAAAATTAAGCACTAAGAAACCATCTCCCACTTGCCCCCAAGCCCATCTATGGGTGAGGCTGCCCCATGGAGGCTCCCCAGCCCTGCCAGTGCAGCTGTGCCCGTGCTCCCTCCTTACCGTACTTCTCGAACCATTGCCTTCTGATCAGGCTGCCATTGCTGACAATGCTGACACTTGGGAGCTCCAACTCTTGCTTGCAAAACTGGACCAGTTTGCCTACAAATTCGCCTCTGTCCTGAAGAAATGGTTCTCCTCCCGAGAAATTGATTTTCTCCATTCCTAGAGAAGGACCAAAGAAAGATGCTATGAGCAACCTCTGCTGCCCATCGCCTGCTCCTGTTCAATGTCATCAATGCCCCACGGCAGCGGGACAAGGGACATCCCCGGGATAACTTTTTCCACGGCACTTGGTCCTGCGGGGTCCCTCTTCCCCGGTTCCTTCCGGACCCACCTCTCCTGCACTCACCTCCTTCCTTGAGCATCGCCAGCCCCCGCTTGGCCTCCTCCAGGGGCAGCACGAAGGAGGTCTTGGCCGTGTGGAAGCAGAAGCCGCACTTGTAGTTGCACTGCCGGGTGAAGTGGTAATTGACGCTGGTGGGCGTCGGGGCCGCGTCGTCCCCTTCCTGCTCCCGCTGCGGCCGGGGGGCCGAGTCCCGCCAGCCGGGCAGGGACAGGGACAGCGGCAGGGACAGGGACAGGGGAGCCAGGCTCCAGCACAGCGCGCCCAGGCGCCCTCGCAGCGCCGCCAGCACCGCCCGCCCGACGGACAGCAGCCGGGCCAGCAGGATCAGCTGCATGGCTCGGCTCGGCTCGGCTCGGCTCGGCTCGGCTCGGCTCGGCTCGGCTCGGACCCGGCGAGATGCGCTGCTGCTTCAGACCCTCCTGGGCACGGTTCGACTGGACTTGATTGGCTGGCGTCGGTTTGGCTGGTCTCGGTTCAGTTCAATCCGACCCGGCCCGGCTCGGCTCGCAGGCTGCAGAGAGGTGTCGGCGCTCCGCACTTAAATGTGCGGTGACCGCCTCCCCTCCCCGCCCGTCCCGCCCCGCCGTGCCGGACGGCGGGGAACAGCTCGGTTTCGTTTTCCCTTCTCCCAGAAGCGAAACTTGGCACCGAGACGCGGTGTTTTCCGTCTCCCGCCTGCCCCACCCGTGACTGCAGAGTCCCCACGCTCCAGAGCCGCTTCTCGGCCCCGGCCACCGCCGGCTGCCCGGGGCTGGGAGCAGGTTGGAGCACCTCTGGGTTTGAGCAGGTCTAGCATCTGGGACCCCTTTTGGTGAGTGAGGTCTCAGTGACTTTGGCTCCTGTCGTTAAACTCGTGTAGCAGGGGGGAAACTGAGCTTGTATAACTGCACTGCACCTTTGTCAGGCATTCAAGAGCTCCTGTAAGTTTAAAGCTTTGCATGGAAAAGCAACCCAAGTGAGGAAGCCTGATGACTTCAGATACATGAAAAGAAAGTAATTGCAGGTTCTTTGATTCTTGGTCTCAATGATGCTCCTCAAGCAAAGCTGCTGCATCAAGTTGAGCACATGGTTAGCCTTAGCAGCAGGAACAGTTGGCAGCCTGAGGTGAGACATTGGTGGCTGCCCACTCTTGGTAACACCAGGAGAGACCAGGACAAAGCTGCCAGTTACCATATTCCTCAGTTCCTTGGTGGTACAACAGGTACTGCTGGAGAAGGAGCTCCTCCATGGTAATACCAGTTGCTATCTTCAGTCTTCCAATGTGTTCAGACACACTAACAGGATTGTCACAAATTTTCAGCCTCACTTTGTCTTCACTCAGCCTGTCCTCACTCTTGCGTGGGCTGTTTAACATTGCCACTATTGCCAAGGTACAGAGTCATGCTCAAATCTTGACACCTTCCACCTGCATGTTGTCAATGGCCTAAAATGGAGCTTCCCTCACTTCCATTGACCAGCCTAGCCAGAACTGCTGGTGCAGCCAAGAAGTCTTGCCCTCATCTTTTTATTTCCCTTTTTTCCCCCTTCGAAAAAAGGGGTAGAACTATCTTCATCCTGTGCAATTTTCATGGGAAACAAAACCTGCTTGTGAATAAGAAGTGTTAATTTGTCTTGTCATTGCCTCTTGCCGAATTCCCGTCATCTTTCCTTCACTTTCCTGGAGGTGATCTACTGGCTGAATAATGTCTGGATCAGCAAAAACCATTCTGAGCAGTTTTTATTGTTTGAACAGTTTTTATTATTGTTTCTATCAGCTGTTTCTTGCTGTCACAGGTTCATACTACTAGGGCAGGATGAGAAACTTCTTGCTGTGTCTGGCTCCAGTAATGCCCCCTCACATGCTGCAGCATGATGTGAAACATCTCACTTCTGAGGCTTTCCAAAATGGTCTGAGAGGCTGTCAGCAGAGATTATTCCAGCAGGAGTTGACTATATGCTCTTCCAGTTCCTTGAGCTTTATGTAAGATACAAGATTAGGGATAAAAGCAGTATATCCTAATAAATAAAGAGTTTCTTGATCACAAACTTGAAAATATTATTGGAAAGGGAGGTGGACAAGACAATGCAAATTTAAACTGAAATCTGACATTGGAGTTGCTAATTGATAGCTTCAATGTTTCAATTAATTTGGAGAATTCTGATATGCCCTCTTTCTTCCTCACTCCATACATCCCTTCTGTTGCATGGCAGGAATCCTATTTTATGTGTTACCTTCTCTGGCCTCAATTCAAATTCCCTTCTGTCCTCATTCATATCCCTTGTTCATGTCAAGTTAAGCCAATGCAGGTGTAGGAACTACATTCTTTCTCTCTTCTTTGAGATGGAAGGCTCATAACTAGCCCTGAGCTTGTTGCCTAGTACCTCAGCTGGCCAGAAAAATTAGGATCAAAATACTAAATTTCCAAAGTCGGTAAAGAACCCTTGATGATTACCAATTTCTCTCAACACAAGAATTACATCTGATACCCAAACATTCCAAAACATGTCAGAAAAATATTGCTCAATAAATCAGAAAATGAAAACATTAGCATTTTTGGACCGTTTTTCTTTGAAAACACAGATCTTCATTTCAAGGAACAAAACATGCTGAGAACATTGCACCCAAGCATACTCATGGCTTCTTGTTCTTTGCAATCCTATCAGTGCTTTCTTAGAAAAATGGAAATTATAGTTCTTTTTACTTTTTGCCTCAACTAAGAATGTTTTCAGATTACACTCTCTGCTTTACTGTAAATCCTCTCAAAGTAAACTCAGACCAGGATGTAGCCCCTTCCTATGTTCAAGATCCAGCAGCTTTAAGAAGGACAGTCACATTTTACATCCTAAACTGTCTTAGCTCACAGGCTCTATGGTAAGGCCTTTAAGAAAACACACGTGCATTTTTATGCACAAGCTTTGAATCTATAAGAATTATTGCAAGCTAGAACTGTAATGAAATTTTCTGTCCTGATGCCTTCAGGAAGAACCTCAGAAAAGCAAGCATAAATATTCTTTGAAATTTGTAGGAAGTATGATTCTTTCCTCTAGCTTCCTATAGAAGCCCTCTTACACAATGGAGTCACAGTAATAAAAACGTTTCTGTATTCCAAATCTGTATCTAAAAACCCTTTAAAGATTAATATAATTTTTCAAAAATTATTGAATAATGTTATTAATGGTGCACTAGATAATAAATAAGTACACAACTAGCATGGGAGAATCCAAAGGGCTAAACATAGATAATGCTCTTGTGCCTAGTTGCTAGGAAAGCAAAACCTATATAATATTTATCGAATTAATGTAATTTTATATTTGAAATAAATGTATTGCTTTCTCCAGAGAGGCCATTTGGCAGTTCCAGTCAAACAGTATTTTGCTAGGCAAACCAAACTCCTGATATAAACCAGTAACATAAAAAAGGTTAAAAGAGGAGTCATATCACATCCCCTGGGAGGACCAGAAACCATCCAAGGACAACCAGACAACTCATGCAAATCAAGCAATGGCAGATGCAATTTTAGCATTTGGTAAATACATTACTTCTTGCTCTAGTCTCATCTGGAAACTATTGCTTTCTCATTGCATCTGCAGCATTATAAATGCAAATCTGTCAAGGACCTTGTACTTAGAGCGACTCAGCTCTCCTTTGGATGAAAAAATCCAAGGGGAAGTTACCAAACGAAAGCTCAAACCCACATGCAATTAAGTTATGAAAGACATATGAAACACACAATATGAATATAGCTACAGATTAGGCACATTTGAAAGAAGTCCACCATGGACCCTTAATAGTGTAGATATGAATTCCCATTCAAGAAGTATTAAAAAGATGATTTTTATGGTCTAGGAAAAGATCATAGACTTTTAGAACGATAGAATACCAGGTTGGGAGGGACCTCAAGGATCATCAGATCCTTTCTTGACAAAAGTATGTTGAGAGAAGGATCTTTCTGTGTCCTTTCCATAACCTCCCCTAAACACCTGGCAGTGGCCACTGTCATGGGCGGAAGAGGAATCTCTCTTGGCCTGACACTATACTGCCTTCTGTGTTCTTATTGTCTTATCCCCAGATCTTTTTCTTTACTGGAGGGCCATTTATTGATATTCTTTAAAGTTTATTTTGCATTAAAAGAGCAGTTTTATTTATGTGCATTCCATGTACCTACCCATTTTATGTGCCTTTGACTTAAGTTATTCCTGCTTGTGTATCAGACAGCTTTTACAGGACTGTACACTTAGATATACTCTTAAGTTACAGGCTAATCAATTTCCATGGTTTGGTTTTGGTTTTTTTTTCTCTTTTTCCATTTTGTGTGGATCAAAAATTTTTGAATATTCATATGGCCTCTTCTTGTCTCTGTATCTCATCCCTATAGCTCTATGTAAGCACAGTAGACACTCAAAGATGTAAAAATGCTCCTGGGCAGTGTTTTGTACATAATTAGCACATTTGTTCTTCAACATTGCTTCATATTATACAGAGGAAAAAATTATAAAGGTCCTTGTAGAGAGGCTGAAAAAAGTCATACTGTCTCCACTGATTTTAAATACAACAAAGTATCTTGGGCATAAAAAGACAACTCTCTTTTCCTATATTTTTACTGTAATCCTGAAAGAGGGTACTTTAAAGTAATTAGGCAAGAGAACAGGCATCACATGCCTATTATGTATGATCTCATAAGCATATTATAAATGAAGGAATCACCACCAGCTTGGTTCAGGAATAGTTGTAACTAGGTTATATCAAGGCAGTGAGATGGTAAAAGGGAAAAGAGAAAATGAAAGTAAGTTCTTTCCATTTGTTCAGCAGCGGGGAAAGGCAACAGTAGCATTGGAGAAAAAACAAACAAAATAAGCCAACAACAATAAAAAAAAAAAAAAAAAAAACCCAAAAAACTGAGAGGTCAGTGAGGGAAATGGCCAGGTTTACAAGCACTTTTGAAATGAAACTTGGCTGCAAATAAATTGGACCTCAAGCAAACAAATGAACAGAAAAGTGGCAGGTAAGTTTCAGTACAGATAAAGGTGAGGCAGCACAGATCCAAAAGAGTAATTGAAACCTTGTGTAGCTGATGCTGAGCTCAGCAGTGGCACTTGTGCTCAGAAAGGACATCTTAGTCACTGTTGCTTCTCCTCTGAAATCAATGGCTCTGTGGGAGGAAGAACAGAAAAAAAGTCAACTTAAAGCTTAATGTCACCCAGAAACAAGGTAGATTGCATTACTCTCCTGGTCTGTGAAACTTTGGTAAATGTAACCAAACCCTGACTAGTGGTCCAGTTCAGGTCTCCACATCTTGGCAGGACCTTACAGTTAAAGAAGTTATCCTTGTTTCTAACTGATCAAGGGGATGAAGC